CCACAGCGGCACAATATTTACTTACATTTCATGCTTTATAACTATTTATGATAGAGAATCTTTCCCTTCCAATGTGAGTTTATTTACAAGTAGAATATTATCAGTCTAAACTTACGTAGATCTCTCAGAATTAAAAGGTTCTATCTGGCTTTGGTCCTTTCCAGAAAAGGTTATTTCCAAATGTCCAGAGGTTTTTTACGTTTAGCAGTCAAAAGTATCTCAACACAATGACTTTGTTAAGATATGAACATCAGTTGTCCTACATAAGATTTCTGCGACACTACATGGACAGAAGTATGGGAACACACCACTTAATCATTGAATTCAGGTGTTTCCTTCAGTCCCATTGCCACAGTTGTATAAAATCAAGCACCAACCATGCAGTCTGCCTTTACTAATATCTGTGAGAGAATGGGTTGTTCTAAAGAGCTCACTGAATTCTAGTGTGATGCTGTAAGTCAGCTCACAAAATTTCTTCCCTCCTAGATATTCCACGATGAGTGGTATTATTGAAAAGTGGAAGCGTTTAGGAACCACAGCAACTCAGCCACAAAGTGACAGACTACGTAAAGTTACAGAGCGGGTCGCCGAGTGCTGAGGAGCATAGAGCATAAAAGTCTCCAATGTTCTGCTGATCAATAACTGCAGAGTTTCAAACCTCCTCTGGCATCAACATCAGCACAAAACCTGCATCGGGAGCTTCATGGACGAGCAGCTGCATGCAAGCCTTACATCACCAAGCGCAATGCCAAGTGTCAGATGGAGTGGTGTAAAGCGCTGCCACTGGACTCTGGAGCAGTGAAAATGTATTCTGTGGAGTGATGAATCAGCTTCACTATCTGTCAGAGTGATGGATGAGTCTGGGTTTGGTGAATGCCAGGAGAACATTACCTGCCTGACCGCACTGTGCCAGCTGTAAAGTTTGGTGGAGGAGGGATGATGATATGGGGTCGTTTTCAGGGGTTGGCCTAGAACCCTTAGTTCCAGTGAAGGGAAATCCTAATGCTGCAGCAGACCAAGACATTCTGGACAATTGTAGCTTCCAACTTTGTGGGAACAGTTTGGGGAAGAACCTTTTCTGTTCCAGCATGACTGAGCATCAGTGCACAAAGCAAGGTCTATAAGGCATGGCTGGGTGAGTTTGGTGTGGAAGAACTTGACTGGCCCTCACAGAGCCCTGACCTCAACCCCATCAAACACCTTTGGGATGAACTAGAATGGAGATTGTGAGCCAGGCCTTCTCGTCCAACATCAGTGTCTGATCTCACAAATGCTCTTCTGGATTTAATGGCTAAAATTCCCACAGACACGCTCCAAAATCTTGTAGAAAGCTTCCCAGAAGAGTGGAAGCTGTTATATCTGCAAATGACGGACCAACTCCATATTAATACCTAAAGATTTAGAATGAGATATCATAAACGCTCCTGATAGATAGATAGATAGATAGATAGATAGATAGATAGATAGATAGACACTTTATTGATCCCGAAGGAAATTTAGCAGAAGAGGGACCAACTGTGAAGTTATATAAAGTAATATTAAAAACTAATAAAAAATAAACTAATAAAATAATAAACTAAGCTAAGTTTGAAACTAGTGAGTAAAACATGAATAAAAAGTTTTTTTTTTTTATTTATATTAATGTATTTTGTTTGTCTCTCTCTCTCTCTCTCTCTCTCTCTCTTTCCACAGTTGTGCCTGCTTTGAGCAATCAGAATCCTGACTGGTGTAATTGGGGAGGCCTAATGCTTTAAAGCTGCATTCAAGTTTTTATTGTGGTTGGTTTTAATAAAATAACTTCAGAAGCTCTTATTTGTCTGTTCCTCATGCTTTTATCCTTCATCACCTTTTCAGTATTTTAAATACCACATGTTACTGATCCCATAGTGCCTTAGACACAACATGGGGTCATAACATCATTACACTAGAAAAACAGTGCACAGCGAAATGGAGCAAAGTAATAGAAGCTAGTACAGTCCTTTACATTACAAGGAAATGGAAAAGCATATTCTACTGTGTTTACATTTGACCACACATTATCATCCACATCACACCTAGTGTCCTCTCTTTCTTATGGACATACGAATAAGTGCTTGCTTATGTGCTGGACCCATAATGGACTGTCCACTATAAATAAATTAACTCCAGGAATGACACTTTTTTTAACAAATGGTCAACACCTGGTAGGACATCAGCTCAGATGGGAGTCAGCTGTGATTGATTAGTTATATCACTGCTTTCAGAACAAAACCTTGTGTCTCCACAATGATAACTTGACAGTAGAAGCAAAAAACTTACTTTACTTTTAATGTAAATCAGTGGAACCAGAATTTTTTCCAAGTCATTTTGGGCTGTTTTCTTTTCCGTTCTTCATGAAATTTACAGACAATGTAAATGGCAACAGGCATTTTTTCAAATAATGTCAAAAACTGAAAACAAACATGGGGATACGAGGTTTTGTTCCAATAGCAGTGATATATTCAATCGGCAGTTTGTCTCTATAATCATTATCATTTTTGGGGATTTGATTGTTGTCCAGTACAGTATTGGGGATTTAGCAAATTCATTCATATTAAACTCTGGACATTTGCAATTTGAGCTACAAAATTACCCATTTTTGTTAAAAACCCAGTGAGAACATTTTGGAAACTGTGGTCACGGAATACATTCTGTATTCAAGCATGGAAAAAAACTGTACATGATTTGGTCCAAATATAGTGTTGTTCTGCTAACTGTGTGAAGAAAAGAAAATTCAGTACTCACAGTTCTTGTTAGCAATCAACTGTAAAATCACCTGTTACAATAGTCTTTGATCAGTTACCTTTGTGAAAAAAATGAAGTGATGTCAGCCTAAAAACAAACAAACAAACAAAAGTTCCTTGTATGCCCTTTCATTCACTGACATGCTTCTTTCCTGAAAAACTGAGAAAGGAAAAGCAGGTATAATGCATTATATTGCATCTGCAGTAGCTAAATTACAGAGGAAGAGAATGGTACAGAGAGAGAGAGCAGATAGAGGGAGAGAGAGTGCGGTGTTTAAAGGGTGTGAAAAGTAGAAGTGCTGAGGGCTTTCAGATGGAAGTATTTTTGTGTGTGTGTGTGTGTGTGTGTGTGTGTGTGTGTGTGTGTGTGTGTGTGTGTGTGTTTTGTAGCTCATTTACATATATCGGCCTGTTTAGTTCTAAAGGATAAAGAGAGGACGTACAACTGAATTATGACTGTTTCAGTATATATGCTTACACAAACATCATAAGTAAGAAAATACAAGGCCTCTTTAAACAATTACATTTTATTAAAGAAAGGAAAGTAAAAATGAAAGAAAGAAAGAAAGAAAGAAAGAAAGAATGTAAGAAAGGAGGAAGGAAAGAAAACTTTTTTGTATTGTCCTTTATGGGGGAAAAGAAAAAATTTGTCATGATTTAACACCAGTCAGAATGTCAGTGACCTGATATTCATTTTAAATGAACTGATGTTACTCTACCACCAGAGGGAGCTCTCTATATAGAAAGCACTGTACATCTCTGGCCAAGGTCACCAGAGGGCAGGCAGAGGATCAAACAAACTTGTGACAAAGGGAGAGAGGGAGAAAGGAAGTAGGCTGTTTATTTGATGGTGCAACATCATCTAAACAACCTGAATAACAATGAGGCTCATAAATCCAGAAACTGTGGACTTTCTACTCATTGTCATCCTCCAGAGTGTCCCAGGTAAGAGCTTAATGTGCTTATGGGGGTCTACTGCAGATGCTTGTGTTTGAATTTGGTTGTTTCACCCTTTTACATAGAGCACTGAAATGGATAGTTTACACTTCTCATGAAGTAATGTGATCTGTAGGTGCCTTTTTTAAGTGAAAAGAAAACGATCTACCAAAGCTAAAAAGTCATAGATTTTTGCCATAAACTCATTTTGAAGCAAGCAAAAAAAATGCATCAAATTACACTTCGCACTTAAAGGAAGGGTTGAACATTTTTTTGTTTTTTTGTTTTTGTGCACTGGAGCTATAGAAAAAATAAATAAATAAAAAATGGAGTGACTTAGACTTCTATTATATTAGACCTGTAGCTCCTGCAAAGTATCTGCAACTCTGCCCATATTATTCTTGCTTCATTCTGACACATTTGATTTGATATTTTAACCAACATAAGACCTTTTATGTCACACCCAGAGTGGTTTAAAGAATAAGGCTAAGAGCTAACAAGTTATGGTAGTGACCCAAAGTCTTTTTGGATAACATAGGCTTCTATTATATTAGCTTGTAACTCCAGTCCAAAATAAAACCATGCCTTGAGTAAACAACGACATTTGGGGTCATCAGTAATTTGTGTAAATTTGATTTTTCTGTGAACCCTGTTTAGTCCAGGCCTGCCCTGATCATGAAAGTTTAGCTGATGAATAATTTCTATTAAATGATTGTGCAAAACAATTCAATTCTTCTTTTTTGTTCATTGAATGCAACTATTAAAGTATAAGCTTAAAGTCTGGCTGATTACCTATTTTGACTTGTAGTTGTTGATACTTACAATGAAAACAGCTCAAGTTCAAATAAAGAAACATTACATTAGTATCATGTGATTGGGGGAGTCCTAACTAGTGAGTGGAATTTGACAGGTTAAATTTAGGAAAAATGGTAAAAAAACAACATTCAAATGTGTCCTATGGTGGTTAGTGGGGTTGAGGTCTGGGTTCTGTTCAGGACACTGGATCTTCTCCACACCAACCTCATCAAACCATGCCTTCATATACCCCATCATGCTGAAACAGGAAAGGACCTGAGCTGTTGTTGCTCCTATACAATTCCATTTTACAGTAATAGCACTTACAGTTGACTAGGACAGATGTAGCAGTGCAGAAGTTTCACTGACTTGTGGCGGCCTATGACAGTGCCACGTTAAACGGCACTGAACTCTTCGTTATGACCCACTGCATGGATAAGTGCTCAATTTTATATACCTGTTAGCAATGGGTGTGGCTGAAACATGAAGTCAATAATTAGAGGGGGTGTCCACAAACCTTTGGCCATATAACGTAATTTGCTTCAAGAAGAAGCAAATAGCTGTATTTTTGGGTTCACCTCCATGTAGGGGTAAGATGTGAGACTGAAGAGCTAAATTACACAGCATATGAAGGAGAACAAGTCAGGAACAGATGTCCATATAAACCTGGATACAAAGAAAAATACTTTTGCAAAGGTGATGCTAAAATCCCCTTTGAGGCTGGACAGAGCAGGAAATTCTTGCTGCATGACAACACGTCAGTCCATATCTTCACCCTCACCATCACTCATCTGAAACTGGAGGATAAAGGCACATACTGGTGTGTAAGAAGGGGCAACTCATCTTCTGACATTTACAGGACAAAGATCCAGCTAGATATTAAACCTGGTGAGCATTTTGTCATTAAATACAATGATTTGAAAAGTGTCAAACTGACTGCTGGTGAACTCCTAAATGTAGCCTAAACTGAAACAAATCCTGAAATCTGACATTACAATATAATAAAACAAAATTCAATACTATGCAAATATATATATATATATATATATGAGAAAACATAAAATGTATCACATTGCAGCTCCTCAGCAGCGTCGACTCTCAGTGTAGTGTCGATGATGTGTTGACTCTGGGCATTGTATCACAGTGTCCTTTTTCAAAGTCCTCCAATCCATTCTTATTGTCCATGCACATCTGGGTCCCTGAAAATCCAACCACCCTTAGAGTGATCTTCCCCCAACATCGTTCTTGAAGGAAAGAAAACCACCAACCAGTATCTTTTGCAAAAACAACAGATGCAAACTGAAACGTCAAATACAGATTAACATCTTATAAGTAAATGTTAAATTCACATTATCATACTTTCACATTATTCTAAGTTATAAGTCACATTTTTCCATTTCCCCCTGCAATCATCCCACTCTATAGTAAGAGACCACTAAATACCAAAATGATAACAGAAATCAATGTCAAGACTGTAATAAGAGTAGATATTCAAAATGGATATTTCTCCATCAGTTCGCCTTCTATCACCACTTCCTTGTCATCGTCTGTGTCAGTCCTATGTAGTAATGGCATCTGAACTTGATCTCCAGGCATCACAACTCCAACCCATCTCAATATCATAGCCTTCGCAAAGGTTAACAACAACGTACAGAAACAGAACATCAAACTCAATGATATAAGAACTGCTACCATCATCTGAACCAAGACTGCTCTCAACGGTCCTAATTTCTCCTGCAAGCAAGCATTCGCAGACCATCCAGCTCCTTCCGATGGGCCAAACACATCCCTTATATGCTTCAATGCATCTATGACACAAGTCATATTGTCAGAACTATCAGGAATCAAAGTCTAACAGGCATCCCCAGTTAAGTTCAAAGCCACACATAGGCCACCTTGTTTGGCCAAAAGATAATCAAGAGCCATGTCATGTTTCAGCAACGTCAGTCTGTGACTCTTTTGGGTATTTGACAAGTATTCAAAGCCTCTTATAGTCTCATTTGCAAAACCCTGTAGAGTGTAGGTAATATTATCAATGTGATCTGCCAAAAATGTCACACCATACCATGGAAACAATCCTATACCCCACTTCTCACCTAGACTTATCCTCCAATGATAGGACTCCAGAGTCTGAAATTGTGCCAATTCCCTTTTCTTCCTACTTCCAGAAATAGCATCAGATTGAACCTCATCAGATACTTTTCCCTTCTGGACAGTAAAAACCTCATATGGAAGCTTCAACGTTGCCAAATAACAGCATCCTGTCCACCCATATGGTAGAAATATATATGCCTTATCACCACAAACCCACCAAATATACTTAAAATTCCCTATAGTCACATTTCCAGGCAACTTTTGGTTCCGCACCATAAAGTTCTACTCAGTTTGCGATGTGGTACCTGAAAAGTCACTTTAAACAAGTCATCCATAACTTCATATTTACGTTCTCCCAAGTCCATAATATAGTTGTTACAGTCTGATAATCCCATAAACTTTCCAGGCCCATTATGAGTATCATCTGGAAAAAAAAAAACAATCTTTAGCCCCCACAGATTTCACTTCCAACGGAACAGGGATTGCTGCTATCATATTTTCATGCTGATCAAGTAAATTCACATATGATAACTCCCTCAACCAAGAACAATTATGTTTAGGTCTAAACAGATGCACTGACAGAGCCATTACCTTATCTTCTGCTGATTGCTGCTGGTATAACAGCCACGATAATGCATAAGATTGACATTTAGCACTTAATTGTTCTGGTACCATCTCTAAAATTGAAGGCCATGTGACTGGTGTTGGAACTTTCCCCACACATGGACAATTCAGCTTCCTAACCGATCTTACAGAATGGGTTAACTGCTGGAACCATAAGTCCCTACCTGCCCATGGGTCTGCGATTTGTAACACTGAGGAATCAAATCCATATGCCTTCCACTTAGTTTCTCTCTTCTGTAATACACAATGATGGTCAGTCATGTCTTCTGGTGTCCAGTCAAAGTAAAAAAACTCATCTTCCATGTCTAAAATAGTCCTCTGAGCTGTAGTTGTTTCTGGGGGTAAAGTGGTAAGCTTCATCAATGCAATATTCACCCTTGGAGTGGTTGCTGTGGTGAATCGTTCCTGAACCTTTTTAGTGACCATGAAAACTCCAGTAGAACTGAAATCTTTTATCACAACTACTTCCTTATGAGTTATATAACCCTCTCTCCACACATTATGAAACGGAATAAATTTAAACTCTGGCTCTAAATAAGTACATGTGTATTCCCCTTGGTCTTCCCATGTAACGTTACGCACAACAAGTGAACAATCATCCCTAACTTTCAACCACCTCTTGTCATTATACAAAAGATACTTCCTCTGATCATGAGACACAGTATCAACTTCAGGTCCTGTTAACAACACATATTCACCACGACTATTTTTCCACTTAGGAGTATTATTACCACCAACATTAAACCTTCCACATTGACAGGGGAGATAAACCGCTCTTCCTAACTTAGCTCTGATAACCTTCTTCATAGGAGTTGACATCGTCGAAATCATCTGAGGCGCCAACGTAGTTAAATGTCTCACATTTATATCTCCAGTAACCTTCAATGCTAAAAGAGTAGAATCCCCTAAGGTCACTTCAGCCCTAGGCCTCATAACATTTTGGTCTGACTCTTTCTTCTAAACACCTTCACGAACACCTTGTCTCCAGGTTGCACTGTGCTACTCTTTTGCTCATCGAGCCTCGCCTGCACTTCTGCTTTTCTTTGCCTGTCAGAAACGTACCTAAATATTATTTTATGCAAATTAGCCAAATATGTAACGTATGCTCGCATTTCATCTTCCAAAAGGGCTAAGCTTGGACCCTTTCCACTTGTACGCAGACAAGGTGTTGGCATTTGTCTTCCCGTAACCAGCTCATGAGGTGTCATATGCAAATCATGCAGCTCACTTGAGCAACACACCCTTAGGGCCAGCTGAAGTGCCGCTATCCAATTTAAGCCTGTGTGTTGGCAAATTTTAACAATGCGATTTTTCAAAACACCATTCATTTTTTCACAAATCCCTTGGCTTTGAGGATGATAAACTGCACAAAGACACCATTTAATTCCCAATTGTTGCAAAATCAATTTCATCGTCTTATCCACAAACTCTTTCCCATTATCTGAGGATATCCGATCTGGAAGTCTCCACCTGCTTATGACCTCTCTACATAGAAACTTGGCAACCGACTGAGCGTCCTTCCACTTGGTAGGACAAGCCTCAGGCCATCGTGAAAATCTATCCACAACGACTAGCATATATCTCTTACCTTCAACTGGTTTTATCATGTCAACAAAGTCCACAACTAACTCACACATATGACCCCTCGGAGTTGGAATGTGACCAGGAGGAACCATCACACCCCTTCGAACATTATTTTTCAAGCAGATAGTGCACCTGCCTATAACATAATCAATCTGTTCAAGCAAGCATGGTGCCCAAAAACCATACTCCTTTGTAATCTTTCTGCTAACTTCCCCCCTTACAACATGAGCTAACCCATGGGCATCCTGAATCATCAGATCTCACACCGTGTCAGCAATGACCTGCCTGCTTATGACCTCTTTCTCCTCTCTCTCTCTCTCTCTCTCTCTTTCTACATACACATTTCTCTCTTTTTCTCTCTTTGTGTCTTTCTCTGTCTTTCTCCTTCTCTCATCCTTTTCTTTTCTCCCCCTCTTTCTCCTCTTCAATTCTCACACACCATAGGTGGATAAAGGAAGAAACAGGTCAGAATTAAATATCAAATGAACCCACTACGTATTTTTAACAACACAATAAGCAATTCAATATGATTCATGCACGTTATCTGCCAACACTTAGGTCATTTTTATCTACAACAAATGTTGTCCTCCTTTAAACTCCAAGTTATCATCAATAAAGACATTTCAGTTTATTTCATTCTAATAACACCTTAAATACTTATTAAATTTTTCTTTACCCATACACACAAACTATCCTCACTGGTCTCTCCACTTCTCTCCAAAACCATAAACATCCTTCTTGGGGTCTCATACTATTTACCTCTACAAAAGTCCCCTCGAAAGAGGCTCAAAAATCTTTTCAACGTCCCCTGAAAGAGGCTCATAAGTTTTATGTAAATTCATAAAGTCCTCTTTTCTGAGGCTCATAAGTCTTATCAGAACTGATAATGTTCCCCAACGAAGGCTCATAAGTTTTAACAAAATCAAAAAACGTCCTCTCAAAGAGGCTCATATGCTTTTACATGTAATTATTCATTCACTCAGCTGGAACACAGCCATGACAAATGACACACACACAGAGAAAGCAGCTGCACACACACAGAAACCAACTCCGTGCATACACACAGTAAGGGGGGGGGGCAGTCCCCCTCACACAGAAACATACAGTAATGTCAGAGAACACAGAAAACACAAACAACATTCAATCCGATATTATGCTTTTTCCTGCCGCTCCTTTTTCTCTTTTTCTTCTAAATTTATGCTACCTTTATGAGGTGTGAATATTCAATAAAAAGCTGCTTCAGACACTGTTCGTCAACTAGTGTTCAAGAGGGAACTTTACAATTGAATTTTCCATTCCACACCTCCGGTCCCTTAGAACTGACCCAAAATTCACCTAGTGATTTTCCAGGATTTTAGGCCTGTCTAAAACCGCCTTCCAGAGGGCTTTGGTCCAAATCTGCGGCTTCTTTCTCTTTAACTCTTCTCTTTTCTATTTTCTTTCTTCTTTTTTCCCATTAATCTAATGTCCCAGGGCCCTGGGCTGTTACTTTTCACTTATTTCCTTTTTAACCTAATCTGACTATTTCTTCAAACCAACTTTCACGCAGTGACTAATATACACATTCTACCATTAAGAAGATAAGGGCCCAACCTTCATTAATCTCGCATGGTGTTATTTAGCTCACCTTATCGTTACTAATTAGGCTATTCTACACTTTTACATCAGCTTTTCTTTTTCCTATTATACTCCCCCCTTACTGTGGCGTTTACAACACAATAAAACCCAAATTTAGAACGGAGAAGTACTCCAAACATCAACACAGCATGGCACGCACACACACATGATTCTTTACGGTGCGACTAGACAGCAAACACACAACAGCCCCAATTAACGAACTAGCACACAATCATGTGAAAAACGCTCACCTGAAGTGCCGGCTTAGTGCGGGAGTAAGTGGGCTAAGGCTGTCGGCGACGCGGCAAGCCACAACACGTCTGGAGTTCGTGACGCCAAATTCTCGTTTGAATCCTGTTCGTGACCCAAATTCTTGTTGTTTATTAAATAGTGATAATGTGAAGATGATGAAGTCTCCACTGACACCGTCTTGCTTGTATAAGATGTTTATTACAAAGTAAAACAGTATCATATCAAGCGCTATAAAGTACCTGAGAGGGGATCCGGGCCAATTCTGAAGTGTCCCCTTCCGAGCAGTATGACCTACTGCTTATATAGGGTGGTTGTTATGGAAAGAGGAGACAGAACATATGGTCCTTCTTAGAATAGTCTCATTCATCTGGAACTAAAGTGGAAAGGGACCTTTGGACCTTGGACCAGGGGCCTCCTCACTTAAACATTCCAATCCTGCAACGTCAGATTACACCTGGAGCTTGGATACTACAATACAACTGTGGGTTTACAGCTGTGAACAGAAAACATAATGATCATCAGAGTCTGTCATTAGCTGACTGAGTTTAGTGTAGGTGTCAAGGCGGTACCATTAACTCAAACTAAGCCAGGGCTTCCGAGTGGCCAGGCATCCAAGAGAGCATAATTGGCCATTGCAGGCATCTGACATACCAGAATAAGTATTTAGTATTTTCCTCTACGTTGAGCTGTCCAATGATGTTGTGCTAGTGGCACTTTGATTACTAAATTGGGTTCACTTCATTATGTACACCAGCCACTTCATTAAGTACCCCTACCTTGTATCTACACTCTCTGTTCATTTTATCAGCTCCACTGACCATATAGGAGCACTTTGTAGTTCTACAGTTACTGTAGTCTATATGTTTCTCTGCATACTTTATTATCCCCCTTTCACCCTGTTTTTCGGTGGTCAGGACCCCCACAGAGCAGGTATTATTTGGGTGGTGGATCATTCTCAGCACTGCAGTGACACCGATGTGGTGGTGGTGTGTTAGTGTGTGTTGCACTGGTACAAGTGGATCAGACACAGCAGTGCTGCTGGAGTTTTTACAAACTGTGTCCACTCACTGTCCACTCTGTTAGACATTCCAACCTTGTTGGTCCACCTTGTAGATGTAAAGTCAGAGACGATAGCTCATCTGCTGCTGCACTGTTTGTGTTGGTCATCCTCTAGTCCTTCATCAGTGGTCACAGGACACTGCCCACAGGACGCTGTTGGCTGGATATTTTCGGTTCTCAGTCCAGCAGTGACACTGAGGCAGGGTTGAGATAGCTACTGAAAAATTAGTAGTTAGCTACTTTGTAGCTACTTTCCCAAAATGTGTAGCTAGCTACAATTTAGCTACTTTTTAGCTACTTTTTGAAAAGTTGTGCACTACTTTTTAGCTACCTTCAAAGCGTGATTGTCAGAATGTTTGTGAATCTCCACCTGACACACAAAACAAGCCCAACTGACAGTGTGAACAAGACACTGCATTTAATCATGAGCCAGAAAGAAACATACAACTGAAAAGCTGCAAATATGCAAAAAGATCTCCAAAAAGTGAGTTAAATGTAACCAACAATCAAACTTACACAACCAAAGGCGTGATATCCAAAAGAAATTTAGACTAAAGGCAAAGTCAGTCATTCCTGGTTTTTCCTAACAAAAATCAACAAAAATAACTGAATACAAACCAAACAATTTTGTGCAAAGCATTGTCAACTGTTAAAATAAAACTGCTCCAATTTGAACATTTCAGCAAGATGTGCAGACATGACTTTCAGAGTCCTTTAAAGTTCAGCAACACTTTAGCCTCAAAATCCTCATCAGTGACTCTGGCTCTGTTTGGGGTGAGAATCAGGCCTGAATAATCACTCCACTCCAGAGATTTTGCAGCTCCACAGCAGAAATGGATTTTTAGGTATAATAACATAATAATCCTCCTTTACTGTAAAATCGTTATAACACACGGTTCTAACACAGTTTTCACAATAAATGGTCTTAAACGCTGGAGTTAATGCATAACTGCTAATTCACCCTTTAATGCTGAAGACTGATGCGCAGACTGCTGGTCACACAGCAACAAAAAAGGCAAAGAGAGAGATTTAAGAGGAACATCGATAATTTGGAGATTAATGGATTTATTTGCATTGATAAGCGCTCAGCTGGTTTCCTCATACGTTTAATCTGCAACATCTCGTGAAGCTGAAGTCGCTTCTCATTCACCAGCTTCTAGTTCGAATTCTCCCATTCCACCTTAAATGGCGCAGCAGTACAATCTGGCGCCTCAGGCACCATTTAAGGTGGAACGGGACAATTCGAACGAGAAGCAGGTGAATGAGAAGCAACTTCAGCTTCGTAAAAAGTCTAACATTGAGAGACATTTTACAAGAAACTCATGGAAAAGTTTCCTGACTGAGGAGCAAGAAAAGCGGCTACAGCTGACCTAAAGGTTACAGCAGAGCAAAGTAAGTCTGTGTTTTCGTTTATATTTTTTAGCCTATACTAACACATCAGCACATACTGACATATTTACAGCCAAGATG